AGATTACATCAAGGATCAGCCTTAAGCCCATATCTTTTTGCTTTAGTCATGGATGTTCTCACTAGACAGGAGGTTGTACCCTGGTGTATGCTTTTTGCTGATGATATTCTTCTTGTTGATAAGACTAGAGAGGGAGTTGAAGGTAAACTTGAATTATGGAGGTCAACCTTAGAGTCTAAAGGCTTTCATTTGAATATATCTAAAATTGAATATATGGAGTGTTATTTTAGTAATAATAGATCTAGTGGGGTGATTGTGACTTTGGGTGATTAAGTCATTAATAAGAGTACACATTTTTGATATCTTTCATTTATTGTTCAGAATGATGGTGAACTAGATGGGGATATTATTAGTAGAATTCAAGTTGGATGGTTGAAGTGGAGGAATGCATCGGGCTAGTTGTGTGATAGAAAATCCCCCTCAAACTTAAGGAAAAAATCTATAAGATGGTGGTTAGACTTGCAATGCTTTATGGTGTAGAAGGTTGGACATTAAAAGAGAAGCATAATATTAAGTTAAGTGTTGCAGAGATGAGGATGTTCAGGTGGATGAGTGGTTTTACTCTTAGAGACAGGATACAAAATGAGCATATGCGTGAAAAGGTTGGAGTAGCTCCAGTGGAAGCTATGATTAGAGAGAGTCGCCTTAGATGGTTTGGTCACATAAAACGGAGGCCTTTCGATGACCCGGTTAGGAAAGCATATGTATTAGTCTATTAGATTTGACTTATGTTAAGAAAGGTAGAGGTGGACCTAAAAGGACTTAGTTAGAAATTATTAAAAATGACCTTTATGAAATTTAAATGAGAATTTAATTCTTAACATGACACAATGAAGAAAAAATATTAATGTAGCCGACCCCCACATAGTGGGATAAAAGCTTGATGTTGTTGTTGTTATATTGACTACTTAGGACAAGTTATGATAATTTGTTGTTGCAAGATTTAGCTTTTCGTCTTAATGCATATTATAACAAAATTTAGATACCTTTTACCATCAAAAGTTATCTTAACCAAAAACTAGTTGTCTCTTTATTATTTGACATAGTTTTCTTTTGAAAGCTCAAGCCGAATTAGATATTGATTTTCTTTGTTCCCATGATATTTTTTTGAGCTGAATCGTTTGTGATTTGATGATTTTTCTTCATTGCTAAGCTGTCATAACTAATGCTTTTGGAGCTCTGATTTGAATCCTTAAGTGGAAATTTGAGTTCTAATGAGCTTATATGAACTTATGTTGATCATCTCACTCTCTATAAATAGTAGAAGGATCTGGATATCTCTTTAATGTGAATTACCTTCACAGGAAATGCATACTGAATATTTGAATGAACGTGCTCTTGACAGAGAAAAGGATGACAAGAATAATAAGAAAAATGATACTGTACCCATTGAGGAGGCTCTGAGGTAGGTATAACACAAATTTTGTGTTTGAATCCTTTGCTGTTTGCCACAAAAACAGTTTGAGATAGGGCTTGTTTAGATATTTTGCTAAGTGCTTTTTTTGTGTTTCTCTATCTTCTGATAATATTTTTGTTACTAAACAGCTCTGCGAAGCTTTGTTTCTTATTGATTATGCACATTGATGGTTGCCACTAATGTACAATCCGCCACTAATGTACACTTTTTAGCATCGCCTTGATACACTTTATGGTCTCTAGCAAGGTTCTTAGTTTAGCTTAAATATATTGATTTTATCAACGAAGGTGCAATATTTGGATTTTAAGTAGTCTTATTTAGTTTCAGTTCTGGCTGGAACTTAAGAGTTTTGGTTTAAACTCAGCATTTTCGGTTGATTATTGTCACTAATGAACTCGTCAGAAGCTTGAAATCTTATCTGAATTTATTTTGTTAGGCCCTTGAGAATCTTTTTTGAGCATTTATCCCACTCTTTTTCATTTTTAGGTTTGTATCCCAGCTATTTTCTAGTGGCTTGAATAATTTAAGAAGTTAAAAAATTGACTACACCAGTGTTATTATATTGAGTTTTGAACTAAAATTTTTATTCATGTTATGTAAATCTCTCAAGTCTGCAAGGTAAATTATAAACAAGCTGAGATTTTGAGGAGGACGAAGTTATTTCCTTACTATAATGTCATGTACAAATTGGCATCCAAGTAAATTATGCAAAGATTTTTAGTAAATCAGCACATTAATATAACATTTGGCGTTTATTTGAGAGTTGATGTTACTTTTAGAGAAAATGATCAAAGTGGTCCCTCAACTTTATATGAGGGGCTAAAATGGTCCCCAACTCTTTTGAGGGACCAATTTGGTCCCTCAACACCCCAAATAGGACATTTTTGGTCATACTATGTAATGGTAGAGTTAATGGTATTAAGTATGAAGGTAATTTGGTTATTTCCAATTAAAATATTTAATAAATGAGATTTAGTAAGTATTATAATTTTTGTAAAAAATTATATTAAACTTTTCTTTAATAATAAATTATAAATAATTTTAATTTTAATAATTTCACTATTTTTAAAATGTTAATGTATGTAGCAAGCAACCAAATTTGTCATTTCTTTATAAGCTCTACAATTGCAGGACAAGCTCTATAATACTCGGAATTAAATTTTTATTATTTTTTGCATTGTTTCATTACATACATTGTAGATTAAAGAAGCATAAAAAATTGCTAAATAAAAGCAAAAATACATTTCATTTAATATGGTTCATTCTATTTGAACATTGTTCATTTGACGAAACATTTTTTCCATTATTTTTTTGGTGGCTTAATGTTGCTAATAACATATTGATTTAGAGGGATAACTGAAGTAGCTTTATCGAGCATTTTTATTTTCAATCAAAATACATAAGCACGTTCATCCACCATTCAAAAAATCACTAAAATTATGCAAAAATACATTTCATTAAAGACTTGTCCATCACCTATTAAAGGCAAAAAGGCATGCAGCTGAACCAGTGACAAAATTTGGATATATGCTGTGCTTCAAAAAGCTTCTTCAATGAGATCTTTTTTTTTTTCCTTTTAGAGATGTAAACCTACAAAAAAAAGAAAAAGATTTGATTAGATTAACATAGCAAAAGAAAAAGTCAATTTTGAAAAAAAAGTAAAATCAACATATACTAAAAGTCTAAAAGTGTTGTATTTGAAGAACCCGTGGGATCCAAAAATTCGCGCCTCAACCACTCCTGCTTTTAGGGGAGTTTTAACAGATTAAGTTTCGAGGTCAATTTTTAGAAGGTAGTTTGGGTTTGAAATAAGAAATTATTTTGTGCGGACACTGGATGGTTTGGAGTAGGGGTGTCAAAAATTGACACGACATGAAGACCTAGCTCAAACTCGACATGAATTTTTCGGGTTATGGTCAACCCGAATTCAAAACAGTTTGGGTTTGGATCCTGATTTTCGACCCGTTTCGAATTCCAAGTCGGGTTCGAGTTGACCCATAAACTTGAGAATGACCCGAAATCTTGTAGTTAAAACATTCGCAATGGATTTTTGCTTTCAATGGCGGATGATCAAGCCTTTAATGAAATATATTTTTTTGATTTTGTTTAGTGATTTTTTGATTGGGGGATGAATATACTTTATGGTTTGTCTTTTGCTCTAGATTTTTTGTATGTGGGATGAACATTCTTATGTATTTTGTTTGAAAATAGAAATGATTGATAAAATTGTTTCAGTGAGCGCTCTAAATCAATATATTATTAGCAACATTAAGCCACAAAAAAAAAAAAACATTGGAAAAAATGTTCTATCAAATGATCAATGTTCAAATAGAATGAACCACATTAAATGAAATTTATTTTGGCTTTTTGCTTAAGAATTTTTTGTATGCTTCTTTAATCTACAATGTATATAATGAAACAATACCAAAAAGTTTTTTTTTTAAAATTCTGTTTAATTGTAAATTTTGACCTGCATTTGTAGAACTGGTAAAGAAATGACAAATTTAGTTGCTTACTGCATGCATAAATGTTTTAAAATAGTGAAATTATTAAAATTAAAATTATTTATATTTTTTATTAAAGAAAAGTTTAATAAAATTTTGGCAAAAATTATAATAACTATTCAATCTCATTTATTAAATATTTCAATTAGAAATGACCAAATTACCCTTATACCTATGATGCACAAATACGGACACGTCGACACGGATACAACATGATATGAACATGGGATATCAATTATTGAAAATATAGGACACGGTCACGGGTTGGACACAATATTATAATTTTAATATTTTGAAAATAGTGTATAAAAATTGTAGGTGTAGAAGTTGCTAGTATCGAGCATCAATGTTAAGACTGTCAGACTTTGATGTTGAGATGATTTTGAAATTTCGATATTGTAATGACGTTAGACGTCAATGTTGAGATAACATCGGGCATTGTTGTTAAGCAAAGTTATGAGTTATGACCTGACAAAGAGAAATGAAAATGAGAATATTCGATGAATGGGGTATTGAGTGCGAGTGATTGATTTAGTGTTGTAGAGAGGAAATAAGAAATTTAATTTTTATTTTTTAAATAAGTAAAAATATTAAATAGAAGAAATTATATTAAAAATCATAAAATATTTAAGACACGCGTGTCAGACACGTATGTCTAATTTGTATTTAATATTTTTTTAATTAGACATATTTTCGGCGTGCCCAACATTTGTCTAAGGTTTTTCAGAAGCGTGTCGTGTCGGATATGTGACAGACACTACATGAATCTTTGAGGAGAAGTGTTGATGCATCATAGCCTCATACTTAACGCCATCAACTCTACCATTAAATTATAGGACCAAAAAGTCATATTTGGGGGAGTTGAGTGACCAAATTGATCCCTCAAAAGAGTTGGGGACCATTTTGTTCCTTTTCTCTTATTGTAAATGGAGCAGTTGGATGTTATTTTTGTAAATAGACAGGATTTGTGTGTTATGTATGTAATTATTCTTTTGATTTTTTTTTATTATAGATAAATCTATACCTGGCATTTGTGGTAGTTATGCAAATATGGTGCATACATTTGGATGCTATAATGAAAACTTGACTCGCATTATGTCCTCAGGGGAAGGATTGAGCCGGAGGACGATAACCTTGATGCGGAGAATACCTTGAAAGAATCTTGTACGTCATCATGTAACAATGCTGCAGCTACCAGTGATCCTTTCACTGAAGAAAATGATATTGGTGCTAACTGTTCTGTCCCTGGATTTAATCCACCACTTATATCTGACAACCCTTGTGTGAATCCAAAATTTGATGGCTACGCTGATCACCAAAGTTTGGATGTCAATGAACTGCTTAAACAGTACAATGAACTTGAGCATAAGAAAGAAAAGATTGTGGAACAACTTTGGCAAGCAAATTACTGGAACTATCAAACCCAGCTTCCGTGTCTGACCAATCAACAGCAGCAGGTCCCTGTGAGCAGTGTTTCTGAAAATGTCCCAAATACCTCATGTCCTTGGTGCACATATCAGTGTCCCATGACCAGTGCACTGTCTGTGGGACATGGTTGTTGTCCGCTACCGATTTTGTGTTGTTCTGGTTCTCAAGTACAGCAAGAAGTAGGAGGTTTTCCCCTCTCTCTCTCTCTCTTCGCCGCATCCAACCCCCCCCCCCCCCCCCCCCCCCCCCCCCCCCAAATGTATATAGGTTTTTATAAATGCATTCTCATTTGCACAGACATCTTCTTGCAACCGTAAGTTTAATTTGCTGAATGGCCCACCTCTAATTTGCAGGTGCTCATTGCTCCACTAATCATGAAAAATGTTCATCGGTGACCTCATTTCCCATGAACACCATGAATCATTTAGTTCAAGAGGATGGCAGAGCTGTTGAAAAAGGGCCCATGCCCGTGGAATTGGTGAAAAATTCTGTTAAGGAAGACTTGGCAATGGCTTTTAATCTCCATGAAGGTAATTATATCATTTACAATTCAACAATTGAAGTGCTTCACTGGGATTGTCCATTGCTAATGATTTTTTCTAAGCGGTGTGTTGATCTTGCTTAATTTGTTTTTCGCTTTTTTTTATATATTGTTCAATTGGACAACATGCGTGTGATAGGTGATTCTATGCTGCATAGCTGGTTACCTTCATATCATTTAAAGTAGCGTACCTAAATTATCAACCATCCTCACATTCTGATACCAAACGCATTTCTTTTGAATCTTTTCTGTGCAGCATTTGAATGTTCGCACATATTGTTTGCCACTTGACGATTAAACATCTGCAACAGTATTTTGAATCTTGATGGTGTTCTCTGTAAAGCAGTGTTTTAAAGTTTAAATTGTATCGTAGGGGCTTCAATTAGTTGATTTCTTATAACTTTGGGCATGCACAGAAAGGATACCACAAGCATGTACGTCATATATTTACTGCACACTTGTTATACTACATTTGCTCCCATTTTGTTTCATTTAGTCTGAAAAAAGGAGGGTAAAACAAGGGATTACGTGCAACCTTTCATAGTTTTAAAGTCATTTATGCTAATAGTCCTCTTTATGCATATTTTAACCCTAACAGAATTATCTATAAATATTGTTTCTCCATTGTCTGCAATCCTCTCTACCACTTGTTACATTCTTTTATCCTTTTAGCTTGTCAAGTTGGACTTAAACTGCTAGTGTCTAGCACATTCTGACTTGAGTGAGAAGCATCTTCTTAGTAGAGCAATATAGTTTATCTTTAAAGTTGTTTTAATCATTACATACTGGAAGCAATGTATCTGCATATATAATTTAATCAAAGGCATAAGACGATTCCTGCGAGGAAATTTTTTTCTCTAGCAATATATCTCATTTACACAAACGCTAGTTTAATGCACATTGATAATCTAAAATAATTTACTCGTGCGTGCTGGTGATGCTTGGCATTCCACATTTTTTATTGTGGGATTTTACCGACTCATTTGTGGGTATAGTTAAACATTTCAACTAGTGAAACACTACACGTTATATCTTCTTTTTATTACAATTATTATAAAAATATATTCATCACTTGTAATTTGCATCATATAAATTTCTGTTGCAAGTTTCACCTATCCACCTACCCTCCTTGATTGTCAAGTTTCTTACTAAATCAATCTGCCGTTCAGTCATGCAACTTCCACCATAAGATCAATATTCGAGCGCCATGGATTACCACACCTTGCTTTTCTTCCTACGGATTGCCTTGCTATCTTGTAATCTATGGACTACCAGTCTACCATGCTGTTGTCCCCTCTTTTCTTTTGTACAATTTATAATAATTTACTTATATTAAACTTATAAAAAACTTTATATGAAGAGGCAAAAAAGAGCCTTTTCGTTGTATAAAATATAACAATAAAAATTACAGTAATTTTTCTCCTTTTTTTCTCTTAACTTTTATTTCTTTTCATTGTTTAAATGGTATCAAAGCGGGGAATGATTCTAGTTTTTTTTTTCCTTCTATCAGGGGTGTCAAAATGGTTCAACGGGTCAGATTTGGGTCTAACTTGAAATTGACCCAACTCGTTTAATAAATGGGTAAAAAAAATGAGGTCTCGAACCCTATCCGCTAGCAACCCGAATGACTTGAATCCGACCCGATAACCGATTTTGATTTAAAAAAATTATAACTTTTAATAATATATTTTAAATTAATTAACAAAAAAAGAAAACAATCATACAAACAAATAAAAAAAATTAAGAAAAAATAATTTAAATGGGCCATTTCGAGTAAAACTTGGGTTGGTGGGTCAATCCGAACCCGACCCATTTATTAAACAGGTCAACCTAAACCCAGATTTTTGGGTCGGGTTGACGGTTTGAGTCATGTTTTGAAACCCCTACCTTCTATCCCTAGCCTACAATAATTTTTTTCCTCGTTAGGGTTATCCCATTCAAATCATTACCATCTGTGTGGATGGGGATAATTTTATTCATTGGTCTCAATCAGTTTGAATGTACATTAGTCATTAGGGGGAGAGGCAAGATCGACTATATCATCAGAACGTGAAGAATCCTATTGTGTTTTGGATGCAGTGAACTCCATGGTAATGACATGTTTAGTCAATTCCACGACCGAATAGATAAGTGGAAACTATCTCTGAAATTTCTTTGCCAAAGATTTATGGGATAGTGTCTCACAAATGAACTCTGACTTGGGAGGTCAATCCCATGTGTATGAACTAACCATATGACTTGGGAAGATTTGCTAATGTGAAACATTGTCACATAATATTTCAATTCTTGGCAGGACTTGAACTTATTCAATGATTATGAGTCGAAATTACCCAAAATTATAATTATTATAAAAAGATTGTTGATGTTGGTCACATCTTTATGTTTCATAGGCTTCAACATAAAATACCTTGAAGTTCGTGGTTTAATTGTTGAAAGAAAGCCCCTCCCTCTAATTCAAGAAGTCTTTACAGAAGTCCAAAGAGAAGAAAGCTGCAGATATGAGATGCTCGGGAAAGAACCATTGGGATTGCTGGTCCTGTTGAAGGCTCTATATTGTCTATTGATGAAGCACAACACAGTTGCAAGACATTTCTGAATTAATGTATTGGAGACAAGAAAAACTTGCACTGTGATTATAGCGGGAAATCTTATCATACATGAGAAAGTGCTACAAATTACATGTTAGACAACCTAATGACAGATCTACTAAGCCCACAAAGCAAAATGTTCTTGCAACACGTGAAGCTGAATCATATCTATTCATTATAAAACAGATAAATCATCTTCTTAAACTACTTAAAAAAAATCTTCTTAAACTACTAAAATCTCATTCCTCACCTAATCCTCCTATTGGTTTTGTGGCAGAAGCATGTAAAGCTTCTTTGGCACTTTCTACTTTTGAAGAAACCAATCCTTGGATCATAGACTCGGGGGTTTCTGACCATATAACTAGTAGTGGCTATCATTTTTTCACTTCCTATTTTCCACTAGCATAAAAATATTATGCTAGAAAGTATTTTATGTGCCCAAACATGCTTGCAATCTTTGTTTTTTATTAGTAAACTCTTTAAAGATAAGAATTGTTCAATATTCATTCTTCAATTTGTGTTTTTAAGGATGGGAACTAAGGGAAGACGATTAGAATTACTAAAGAAATAAATGACCTTTAATAGCTTAATGAGTCGTCTTCTTGGAATAAAAAGCTCATGGATTAAGTAGTACCAGTTCAACTTTTGTTGATGATCAAGCTATAATATGGCATATAGGATTATGGCACACTAGTTTTTCATATCTCAAATATTTATTTTTTGAATTATTTATAGGAATTTATTGTTCTAAAACTCATTATGAAGCTTATTGTTTAGTTAAAGATCATCGCGTGTTTTTTTCAATAAAATCTTTCTGGTTAAAACTATTTTACTTTTTTCTTAGTGATATTTGTAGCACTTCTAAGGTCAAAACAATATAAAAAAAAATATTTTGTAATTTTTATTGATGATTTGATATGCCTTGGTATCAAAAAACAGCCCACGAACAAGATGACTTCAGGACAAAACAAATTTTATTACTAGAAAAACAAATAACAAGAAGCAAGGTGCAATTGATCATCTTCCGAGAGGATATCTTCTTTCCCAAACCCTAGACACTACTAGGATCCCTCACACAAGAAGAATTGCAGCACTCAAATAAAAATTTGCATAAAAAAACTATCTCTGACCTTAGACTTAAATAGACTTCCTCCTTCCCTCCAAAATCAACCTCCTTCCTAACAAGTTTTCCTCATCTATTTGAAACTCAATTAGGAAAATATCTCTTAATTGATTCCCTCATAACATAATATTTCATTTCTTTACTGGGCCCCACCTCCTCAGCCGCCTCTCTCTAGGTCTGCTGGCCCCACTTGGGCGGTAATTGGCTGGACCGGCTTGCCCAACATCTCTCGGGTCTGCATGGTGCAGACCCCCTCTGCTTCCACCGTATTAATACTCCCCCCCTGAAAGTCCCACCTTGTCCTTAAGGTGGAATGCAAGAAACTACTATTATATATTATGATAGGACTCCCACGTGGCCTCATGCTTAGAAAGATCATTCTATTTGATCAACACTTCTTTGCTTCCCGTTGCTCCCTGTTGCACTCCTTTGACCTCCACTAGTTCCAGCAACACCTCCATGTCGACACCTCCATATCCTCTGTCAGGGTCGGGGGAATTGTAGAAGACGGAATATGCTCTCCTATCACTCGTCGCAACTGGGACACATGAAATGCCGGGTGGATGGCTGTCGTCGGTGGTAACTGTAGGCGATAAGCCATGGCTCCGAAACGTTCCACCATCTCATAAGGACCAAAGTATCAGGGTGATAGCTTGCCATTGTCTTTGTGCCAAGTTATTATGTCTGTAGGGGCGAAGCTTCAAGTACACATTGTCCCCCACTTTGAACTGGATGTCCCTCCTTTGTGCATATGCTTTTCTTTTCATGATTTGTTGAGCTCTCAACAGATGCCTTTTTAGTTCCCCCAATATATTTTCTCTATCCTCTTAGTACCCCTCTATTGATATCACCGGTGTGCTACCCTGTCCATAATAGGGGTGTCAATATTTGACACGACCTGAAACCTGACCCAGACCCTACCTAAAATTTTTTGGGTTTGGGAAAACCCGTTTGTCAGATGGGCCTGGTTTTGGTTCAAAAATGTGACATGTTTATAAAATCGGGTCGGGTTCAGGTTGACCCGGAAACCCAAAATCATCTCAAAGTTGACCCGGGTCCAGTTTCACGCGGTTCGGTCTTGCCTAGCCCACTAGCACGTGGCATCAATCTCGCCTAGCTCGCACACGCGGCACGCTCATGCTGAGCCCATTCTCCGCTCTCGCTCACGGGGTGGTTGCCTTCACCGCATGTGGTTCGTCTTTCTCCAATCGCCACTCGCCAGGCGACGCCTCGCCTAACTCACCTTTAGGTTTCACTCGCTAGTTTGCCATTTGCCAATGGCCCAGCCTAACGAAGCAGTGCGACACGCGGCAGTTGGCATGTCTCGCGACACCACCCTTGCCTAACCCTCCTCGCCAGCCTCGCCAGCCTCGCCTAAAGCGCATGTGAATTCGAAATAGAGTGAGTCTGCGGGTCGTATCGGCTCAACCTTGTAACCCGTGCGGTTGGATGGGTTGACAATCATGACCCATTTGCAAAATCGGATAGGGTTCAGGTCAATCCATTTAAACTCGGGTTAATTCGTGTTTGACCCAAACTTGACCCACGAACTCGTTTTGACACCCTTAGTCCATAGTATATCAAATGCAGCGGATCTCTGCCATATAACACATTCAACGGTGTTGTCTGAGTTGCTGAATGATAGGATATGTTATACCAGTATTCTGCCCATGCCAACCATTTGGCCCATAGTTTGTGTGTGTTTGATATAAAACATCGTAGATACTTCTCCATACTACGATTGACCACTTTGGTTTGTTCGTCGGTCTGACGATGATAGACGTTGCTCCTTTTCAAAACGATCCTATGCATCTTGAACAACCCCTTCCATAACTAGCTCAAAAAAATATTGTCTCGATCTGACACAATCGATTCAGGAATCCCATGCAGTCTCACCACCTCCCTTATGAAAGCCGTAGCTATTGATACTATAATATATGGGCGGCGAAGGGGAATAAAATGAGCATACTTAGTCGATCCACTACGACCAGAATCGTAGTGTATCCCTTAGACTTTGGCAACCCTTCAATAAAATCCATAGTCACCTCCTCTTATACTCTTTCTCGCAGAGCTTGTGGTTGGATGAGCCCTCCTGAAGACTTTGCTAAATTCTTGTGCCTCTGACATATGTCACATCTAGCCACCATCTACTCGACATCCTTTTTCATACCTTCCCAATACAACTCTACAGACAATCGGCGTTATGTATTTTGGACCCCTGCATGTCCCCCAATGGGCCCCCCATGGAACTCCTGAAGCAACCAAGGAATGCAAGAAGAGGTCTTTGAAGCACAAATCTCGCCTGATGTAATAGCTTCTGTCCCACCACGAAATACCCTGGGTCGCTATCCTTATTTCCTGCTTGCTCCTCTCTATTTTTTTTTTTTTCAATTTGTAATCAAGTTTGCTCTCTCTTCTTAGTGCTTCACAATCAATCACCAAGGGTACAAACAATGCTATCATCTCGGCCAATACACCCCATGTACGTAGACAATCCATTTGTTGCTTTGGTTTTCACTCTCGGCCAATACTGTATCTTGTAGTCATAGCCCAATGACTTGGAAAGCCACCTCTGATGCACTTCAGTGACCATTCTTTGCTCTAACAAATACTTCAAACTCTTTTGGTCAGTTCTGACAATGAAATGTCTCCCCACATATACGATTTCCATTTTTGAATGGCTTGTACTATCGCCATCAGTTCTCTCTCATAAATTGATTGAGCCTTTGATCTGGTTGTCTGCCCCTGATTGAAATAGGCCACTGACCTTTGGTTTAGCATGATCACCACTCCCAGCCCAAACCCTGAGGCATCTATCTCCACTAAAAAAGCTGGCTAAATTTTGAAAGAGCTAAGGCGGCCACATTGATCATAGTTTTCTTCAACTCCTCAAAGGGTTCTCCCCACTTGAAGTTGTCCTTCTTGAGTTGTTTCGTCAATGACCCTATTATGGACCCATAGCCTGTGAGTCGGAAGAATCTCCTCTGCTGAGTTTTGAAATTTGAAGTATCCTTCTTTTGTTTACAAGGATGAAGTTTTCAAAGCTTATTATATCCAAGGCTTCAGTAAAAAAAGGTGCCTTCGTGTTGCCTTGGTAGAATGGTTGGTTTTCATAAGGCAATTTTAACACTGCACAAGCCTCCTATTGAAATTACATAAATTAAACTTTTGAGTAAACTGCTGTAAAAATCGACCAACTTTTTTCTATATTACAACTTGTTAATGATTAAAAATCATAATATTTTTTTTTTTTTATAATAATTTGAATATTTCTCGTGAAATATATCAATTATGTGGTGGTAAAATAAGTTATGTTAAATACACGAGCTAAATCAAAGTATCATATAGTTATTTAATTAATAAAATTATCATTTGACCCACGATTCACAAATCACATGACATGTTCTTTTGACGTCGCAAAGATAATTATATTGATTTATTCACCAAATTACCTTTGATTTATCAGAGATATTAAAGACAACATTCTAAGAACACATATTCAATGCTTTCTATAAGAAAAATCAAACTATAAACCAAACGGAAAGCATAATAACTTTTTGGTCATTTTTTAAATCTTTATGATCAAACTGTAAAGTAGATTAAAGATAAATAATTTTTAGAGTCAGCTAAACTTAATTTTTGGTGATTAAAAAAACGACTTCAAAATCTATTCTAGAGGTATTGAAGGGATTTCATGTTGTTTTGTGTTGTTTGAACTTAAACTAATTCTTAAATGTACGACTTGTATTTAGATGCATCTTGTTTTATTCTTAAGAAATATGAAACCTTGCTTTTTAACTCCCGTACCCTTTCTATGTCATCTTAAAGCAACTACTCAAGTATTTATCATTTTACGTGTTGCATTACCAAAGCTATCATCTCAAAGAAAACTGCACAATTTCTATTAGCGCAGAAAAGAAAAACGGGGAGGTTGATTCGTCAAGCAAAGATTTATCAAGTACCAGCCTAAAGACTGATCTCAATACTGTTATAAATGCATGGTATTGGGCAGGCTACCACACTGGCAGGTTAGCAAAAATTTCTTCTCTTATGGCCTTTTTTTTCAGTCTGCAACCCAGCTTCTAATTGGTGCACTTTGGAAAATTTTTGCTTTTACCTTTTAACTGCATCTAATATTAGTTTATATATGAAATGCATGGAAAACCCTAAGCATTTGCAATCGGATACTAGTTTGGGAATTCTATGATAATCGTTACATCAAAATTTGAAAATATTTACTAATCATTCTAAATCTTCTATTAGGGGTGTCAATATTTGACATGACCCAAAAATCTGACTCGAATCCGACCCAAAAATTTTAGGTTAGGGTCAGCTCGAACCCGAAACGGGCCGGGTTTAGGTTCAACAATTTGACCTGGTTCAAACCCCAAAACCTGTTTTTGATCCAACAACCCGAGATTGATCCGTTTTGACCTAAAAGCGGAGATTGACCTGTTTTTGGATGCGAAAACTAGCAGTTTTTTTGTTGACACCGGGTCATTCGGGTCGTGTCGGGTTGACTCGGACCCAAAACGGGTCTGGTTCGGGTCCGGGAAACTGACCCGTTTACAATAACGGGTCGGGTTTGGGTTGACCCGAATATTGTCGGGTTTCAGGTTTGAACCGAACCCCCGACCCGTGACCCCGAAATTGACACCGCTATCTTCTACTATTATTTATATTTGCAGGAAAAAAATTAATTTATCAATCAACAAATCAAACAAGCACTTATTATCTTGAATCCTATCAGTTTGTTTGGATACTTTACTGGTGGAAGAATCTCATTCTTCCTATTGTAATGCAGGTATCTCTTGGAGCAGGAGCAGTCAGACAAGCAAAACGATAATACCAGCAAAGGGAACATCCTAACTGTTTCTGAAGAGAAAGGTGTCACTGATTGCCAAAAACCGTAGGTTTTATGGTTTTTACTCCAATGGCTTCATCAGGTATTGCAAATCTTCACACTGAATCTTTTGACAATTCAAAAGAATTTAGGAAGTTGTTCGATCAATGTTTTACTATTGAAACATGAAACTTGATCACTTTATTTCTGCTCGACATGAAATGCTTTTTTACTGAACTTCTTAACCCAGCATTTGTGGGACAGTGAAACAGTCTATTGCTCATTCTATCAAACAAATTTACCTAGGAAACTTGTAATTTTTACCTGTTTGTTTCAATAGGATCTTGCTAATACTTTTTACTATCTCCTTATTGCAATTAAAGCTGCTTCAACTGATACCAATGCTAGAACTGAAATTTGCACATTTTTCAAGATACATTTGTTTACTAAAGTTTTCATAACCGGCAAGTTCCATACTGAAGGCTTGAAAGAGAAGGAAAAAGAAGTTTGATACAATGATTTACTAAATAGAAAGAGATGCTGATTGAGCTGAATTTGGCCGGCTGAATTTCACAGGGGTGCTTTTGCAGTTTCTAGTTAACTCCCCTTCTGAACTATTTGGCTTGTCTAAATTTATTTAAACACCCATCGAGGCTTAAGGTGGTTGGTGGGTGAGCACGGTTGGAAACCCTCCATCCCGGATTTGAATCCCCTCTTCTATAGTCTCGCCTCTTTAGTTGGGCAAAACAAGTGTGGGTTTGATGCCAGTTGGTGGTGTTGCTAGGTTATGTCGAGGGATTAGTTACGCCACCAAACGCTTCCTTTGGAATGGCAGCAGATAGATACCCCGTTTCAAAAAAAAAAAAAAAAAAAAAAAAAAAAAAAAAAAATTTTTCAAACAAAAAAAAAAAAAAAAAAACTAGCATTCTCTAAGAAGAACATGAAGTATATATGGCTTGCTTTTATGACTGGAAAGTCATTTTATTCATTTTTTATTGGTAGTTACAGAACTAGAATTAAAAGATTTAACTCAATTAAGAGGAGAGTAAAGTATTAAGAGAATTAAAAAAAGTTTTTATATTATAAATAATTATATATTGCTGCGCAAAATTTTTATTGTCACCCCTCAGCCTTTCTTTGAGTTCATGATTTATGGTCTGTTTGAGATAGTTTTTTGATTGCTTATTTTTCATATATCAATCATAATTATATTTAGGTATTGCTATCTTGCTACTCTCGCTATTTTTTAGAAAATTTTGAAGTATTTGTTTTTTGCCATAATAATAATAAAATTATTTTTTCTACAATAATTTCATAACTATATAAAGGTTGCAGTCATCCCAATAGATCCTTATATTTCATTTGGCACGGCTTTCTTATTGCTTCTTAAAGCAATTTTTTAGTAATAAAATTTTTAATTTTTATATTAAAAAGTTACTTTAAAAAGCATTAAGAAAACCGTCTCACAGTCGCCATTGATGCATTAGCATGGCTGAGAATCTCTTGAACTGCTGAACCAAATAAATATTACAAATTTCCTTTTTTCAGAGTGTCTTGTGCTGTATCAAAAAATGGATGGCCGGTCCTGAATAAAAATGGTATTACTGAGAAAAAAAAAAGTAAGATATAATGAAATTATATGAAAACTGGAGCATTAATTAATGAATCTTCCTCTTTATTAAAATAAAGTTGAAGACATCGACGTACAAATGTCAAAGAATGATGGCTCACGAGAGAATGGAGACAGGCACGCGCCAAATATAAGTAAATAGTGCTCCAATGTATTGCTTCAATCAATTTAACTAGTTTAATATTTCAATAAATAATGTAATTTAAATTTTGAGGATTCAACAGAATAAAAATTAAGCAAATAATAAAAATAAAAAAGTTAAAATTATAAGCAATAATGAATTGATATTTTAAAATTTTAAAAACTTCAATAAAATTTTTAATGAGGATAATGAAGTTTTCTATATTATTTTTCTTTCAAGTTCATAACATTTTGAAATTTGTTGTCTTGCATCATTTGCTAGAAATTAACCTAAGCAATATTATGTTGTGCTTTTCTAGTTTTCTTTTAAATCCTATTTAAGCAAAATTTCACTACACACAATGCTACAAAAATCCATCGGCAAGTTATTAAGCCTAACAATAACTTACATTATCACCTTCTAAGAAATGGGGAATTATTCTCTACGATCACCGGATGATCCGGAGGCGAATCAAAATGTGCTACATCATCCAACACATAGTAATACACAACACTAGTATACAATTAAAAAATGACACTACCGTCCATATTAGCCTCCAGACTACGTCTCGTGGCCGTACATAATAATTTCAGCTAAGAAATAATATCTTTCATGAGTTGTGAGCCATGCTAATATAGGCTTTGTTTGTGACAATTTTCTTAATACTTCATATAACAAATTTTTAGTACAAAATTTTTATCATTTTGATACTTGATACGGCATCACAAAAATTATCTTGATCGAGCACGAATCTCGAGGCAAAAGCTAGTTGGAAACTTCAAAAATTAATTTTGGGAGCACCCAAACTCCGATTTCAGCAAGCTTATAGTCGAACTTTGCGTCTCGGAAATACGAACTCAACGACACCAAGATCAACCCAATCCGAGCCCAAATGGGTCCAAATCAAGGACTCAAAGTACTGTCGGAAGGTTTTAACAGCAATTTGAGTTATCAAACGGTCTCTGATTTTGACGAGCTTATACTCGAATCGAAGGGCTCGACGAGACGAATCCAACGAACCCAAGATCACAGAATTCCGACATCACTAAGGCCTTCAAATGTCCAATAAACG